ATAACAGTTTTTTCGTTGGCAACACCGCGGGAAAACATTCAAAACGTGTGTCCAAGCCGAAAGAAATATATCGTGTACATGCCCAAACCACCAGTAGCAAACATAATATTATAATTACTTACAACTCCAGATCTAAATAACAAGACGTAACATTGACTTCAGCGCGTTTTTTCTAGATTGTAGATGGGACTTCCATATGAAAACGACGCATACATTAGGTTTAACCCCATTACATAACATTAGGGTGCTTATCAATATGTAATGGAAAACCAGGAAAATAAATAAGGTAATTAAATACTAACGCATTAGTAATTATATATGTCCTTGACAGACGCCAATCGCTATTGTTATTTATTTCAAAGGATTAATTCAATACCTACTGTGTGACCACTCTCCGTTTTGTAAGCCAATTATTGTAGTAGGTACATTAAGACCGGATAATTAAAAAAACGGATTTTGGACAAGATTATTTATTTTATTATCTACTACATAAAGTTTCACAGCAAATACTTTAAGTCCGTCTAATAAATTGAATAGTTAGACACGTCATCTGCTGCTGTAACTAAAAAACGAAACAAAAAAAAATTGTGTCATTTTTTTTAAGAAATCAATAAATACTTCTATGAAGTCCTTAGTTCGAGCATTGTGAAACGCTACATATTTCAAGTTATTTTTAAGGTTAAGTTTATTCCACGAAGCCCACAAAACGAAGCTGCCAAACGACGGTTTTGGCGCGCTGTAGAGGGCACCTTCAATCGTAACCATTGACCGAGGTCAGGGACACTCCGGCCCTGACACAACGCAACGCTCACTCAGTTTCATTGTCATGAATCGTGATGTAATGCTACGATTCTCTTCTCCCATACGCCGGCAGTTCGACTTCCTATTGAGGTAGGCAATGGAGGTATTGCCTGTTTAGTCAAATAAAACGTTGTTGTGCTTCTCTTTTTTAAAGGTGAACTTATAAGTACATACCTAATTGATTTAAAAGTGAATTACGGAAGAAAATGCCTTGTTTACACAAGCCAATGCGCTGCGGGATATCTGCATAGAATAAAATTAAAGTGGCTTATGTTATTTTCCAAGGTTCTGTTGTCTTAAAAATCAAAGACGTAAATTTATAAGGATAGATTTTGATATGCTTAGGCTTATTTTAATAAGGTTTTGTTTAAATTAAAAAGTGAATAGAACCTATTATATGCTATATTCGTATTATATAAATAACATATTAGCCTAGAAAAATAGGTTTCACAACAAATAACAATTTACCAAAAGGCTCACTACGATTAGATACCCGGTGATAGTAATGTTGCCACATTTATCAATTAAAAATTTCCTTTATTCTCTTTGTTTTCTTAATAATAGTCAATAGCCATGACTCGACAGTCGACACACTAACATTAGCATCAATAGGTAGATATTATAATAGGTAATTCAAAAAATACGACTAAATTATAGGCTGTTAACTTGTAAAGCAATTCGTATCGCTCAGGTATTTATTATGTGAAGAAAAGGACAAACTGATTTGTTATAACCGCCAGAATTCAATGTCGAATATAAAATAAAACTGGTTACGGCCGTCATTCGACTTTGATCTATAAAAACCTAGTTCCTACCTCTAATATTATGTTTCTATCACATCCAAATACGATACGCTTCCTTAAATATACATATTATATTGTGCTATTAATAATTCATAATATTCAGTTATGGGATTTCATGATAAAAAATCGGGCATATTTTTAAACATTTTATTACATCCAGTACAATAATAGTACATCGAATAATATCCATGTAAAATATAATAATTTTGGTCGCAAATTATTGACTAATTCCTTATGTCTAACATTCTTAATATCTCGTGGGGTGTAGGCATTGACATTTACATACACTAATAGAATAGTTAAAGTTTTACGAAAATATAATTAAACAAAAACAAACGGTTAACCCTTGCATGGGACTGAATATTTATAAATATGTATTAGCGGATTTCATTGTTTTCAAGTCTTATATGTTCAGAAACTGCAGTTTTTTACAATATAAGTTATTCTTAAAAACTTGTTTTATAAAAATTTTTGTTCAACTAAAAGACTTTACTGTGGATGAATATCAAAGAGTAACTCTAAATAAATGAAAGCTACAATTATGTAAAAACATAGTACTAATAGGCCGAAATATCATGGGACAAATCATCACAACCCTAAGCTAATTGCTAAGTTGCCAACACAATGTTACAAGGTTGCCACATCAAAATGAAACTAATAAATACAATATAACACAGTATGGCACCATAAAGCGGTAATTTGAGCAAACCAACCATTCTAATCATAATATGTATCTGGATATAGAATACATATTTTAATATTTCATAGATATATATTTTTAATAGCTGACTTGGTGCACTTAATCACACAAAGTAATGCACTTTATCAAGCAGTACTTTGTGTTTTTACAATTCCATAATTTTAATTAAATTTTCTTTCAGTTACAATATATATATAGATATAAATAAAGGAAATATTATAAAAGTACAGAAAAAAAATACAAGAACATGTGACAACCCTAAAAATAGAATAAATATAATTAAAAAAAACTAAAAAACACGCTTTTAAAGCACATCAAACTAAAAAGTGAAAAATAATTCCTAATTTAGGCTGAAAATGGTAATGAACAAAAAATGAAAATGGGTTGCTCGATAGACGAAAAATATGGCACAGAGCGCGCCACGCTTTTTCACAATAATACCAGTATTTTTTGTTCATTACCATTTTCAGCCTAAATTAGGAATTATTTTTCACTTTTTAGTTTGATGTGCTTTAAAAGCGTGTTTTTTAGTTTTTTTAAACTATATTTATTTTCCACTTTTTAGTCCTAGCAGCAATACGTGTTGTCTCAATTTAATCGTATTGCTTTGTGGACTTAAAAAAAAAATTCATTGTTTTTTCGAGATAAACCTTTGAAATTATTATATTGTCGCTGATTCTTTATAAGTGTACAAAGTTTGAATTAAATCTGTCCGTTTAATGTGGGTCAAAATCGAGTCCGAAGGAGTCGGTTACATACATACATACATACATATATACATACATACATACATACAGGTGAAGCTAATATAAAGCGTGTAAAAAAGATATCTTAAACCTTATAATGGCAAAAAAATTTAGTAACAAACATGTTACTTTTAATTGATTTTTATCCATCATGGCACAAAAAAATAATTTAAAAAAGAATGTTTTAAAACCATAACGGTTTTTAAGTTTTTCCCACGCTTTCTTATAGTGTCGAACCCTTCAACAATTAATATACTAAGCTATTGAATTAAGTTATATTTACATAGGAGTTGTAACATTAAACTTATAGATAGACCAATAATTATAGAGGCACAAAGCTGCCTGATACAAAAAATCATAAAATAACCAAAGGGCCAAAGCATATTGAATATTTTCAAAGAAGAACATAAGTCATTTTAGTATTCATCTAAACTCTAAAGGTTCGATCCCATTTTAAAAGGTTTTATTTATACATTGAATTCCTAAAAACATGAAAATTGATTTTTAATGTATATTTACATTTATTGCACGTCAATATAACAAAATAACATAATAATATCCAAAATATGAAACTATGTACTTTCAAAACAAAATGCACAGTTAACAGTCACTCCTTCAGGGTACAAACATTTAAATACATCAAATACCTTTTGAGCTAGGTAAAATGTAATAAAAACAATGTAATTCTATTAAGCAAAACACCAAAATTTTTATATTTTAAAAAACATTCATAATAGTATAATTGAATAAACATTCAGTCAAGTTATTCTTACATTATAATAATTGTATATATTCTAAATTATATTTACATTACTAAATATCAATCGATAATTGGACACATTCCGATAACAAGATTAGTTTACACCTAACCATAATCATAGTCACTAAATAAAATAGGTTCAAAAATTATGTTAATTATGCACGGGAGTCTATTTCATTTCATTGTCAAAATAAGAATGTAATATTGAGCACCTTAACAAGATGAAATTATTTACACTTTTTCAATATAACACTCAGATCTTTGAAACACATTAAAATAACTACGTATTATATAACTTAGCTGTCCAATTATGATGCCTGATGGTACGGATATGTATCAGCAAAACACTGGCACTAACAATATATTAAATGTAACAGTTTTGTACTGATTTTTTTTATATATAAGTTTTCAAGTATAAACCTGTAAGATATTTAATATTATTGACCAATTTCAATAAGAGATTTAGTATCTAAGATAGTTTATTTTCTTTGTGCAACAAATTGGGAAGCCTAATTGCTCTGTATAATGCTACAAATTGAAAATGCACTCAATAAATTAAATTAAAAGACTTAGAAAACAAAAATTGTCCAAACATGTTCCATGGCACTTACTTGAAATATTTTTTATCATTTCACCTACCTTTACCATTATTTACCCTGATTTTTTCACACAACTTGTTTTGGCAAAAACAAGTATTGTCACTTGATAACAGGCTTTTCTTAGATAACCCTGCCATTTTAAATTCGCCACTGTTTCTCTTATTTACCAATTCTAAAACACTTCTTTAAAACCACTACAGTGATGTCAATAGAGAAAAAATTTTAAATTCTATTAAAAAAATGGCAAGTTACTGTTTATATAGCTCAATACATTAGTTTTTTTTATCATTTAGATCTAAATATTATATTTGGCACAAAGATAATTTTTTAATAAATAAAAAGTAACTTATCAATGCACCTCTTAAATATACTGCCCAGGGAGAAAAATATTTACTTTTGCATGGAAAACATCTGTTTTGTATTAATTCTGAAAATAGTTTACAGGCATACCTTTTTTGGATGGACACACTTGGTAGAATTTCTTATTTATAAATACTTGTATCACATTTATAACAAATATTTAACCCGACTTAAATGTCAATGGTCAAAGGAACACAAATTAAATGACATTTCTTTTGTTCAATTATCTGATTAGCAAATTTGCTTTTTTAAGTGTTCTTTGCTATCTTCACAATCAGAATTTTTTCTTTTCCTTGTATCAAACCTAACACCAGTTTCATGAACAACCCTTTCACTATTTTTAATAGCAGAAATAATGTTCTCTTTAGAAGGTGCTACCAATTTTAACTCATCAAAATTATCACTAGCAGCCGGTTCAACCAAATGCATAACAATTTGCTCTAAATGTTTAGGATGCTCTACTGGAGCTTCATCTTGTGTGATTGCCCTGTCACTTTGGTTACTATCAACATCTACCATTACTGAATATTTTCGTTTCATCTCTTCCATCATTTTACGACCATATTCTTCTCCTATAACACTATTTACACATACAAAGCTTTGAACTTTTTTAGTAGCTTTGTCTATTTCAAGGAAACCTCGTGTTCGCATGTAGATGAAATGACCTGACCTAGACATTAATCTATAGTAAGACTCACCAAATTCCTTGCTTTCATCATACATTTGACGCAACACACAAATAACCCAGCGAACATCTTCTTTATGCATAAATACAAAAGCAGAGGTTCCTGTAACTTCTTCCGTCATATATCCAGCTGCTAGTGAAATGCTTTGATCACATTGGACAATTCTGCCATCAACAAGGTGCCTGGTCCAGTACTCTGAATAAGCTGTTGGTGGTAATATCTTTACTGGCAATGGGTTCGTTATAGGATGAACCATACCAATAAAAACAAAATCATTTCCACTTGATGAGAATGTTCTCTGATGTCGGACTCTTTGCCTTCTTATTGTTTTTTCATCTTCAACTCCATTAGACGTAGCTTTATCTGACTTGCGTAGCATACCATCAATACGACAGCGTTCATATTTCGGTGGATCTGCTCTTGCACCAGCACGCAGAAGTCTTACACAGAAATTATGGTGTTGCTCAAACATTTTTGAATCACAGCCAGTCTGTAATTCAGTTGGATAAATATGTTTTCGTAAAATTTCTTTATCTTCATTGTGAACATAATTATAAATATCTTGACCAAGCAGATCAACATGACAATAACCTAATTTTTCTTGAACATTTGGCGACACGTTAAAAATGCGACCTCGACATGTCACTGCGATCATAAATCCTCCAATAATGTCAAAAAATTTCATGATTGCATTTGACCAAGTTTCTAAATGACAACATTTTATAGTATCACCAAATACATGTTCGTTGCGAAGTTTGTTAGCGGCTAATCTTAGAACACTAGTTTTGTCGACCTTTCTCTGGGAGTGCACAATATCAGAAAGAAGGGTCATCATTTGTGCAATTTCTGAATTAAATTGACTTCTACGGTGTTTTTCTGCGATAATACGGCATTCTCTATCACTCGCTTTAGCCTTCGGTAAATCCGGCGAGTGTGCATCAGACGAAGAATCTCCGCAACTGGTACTAGCCATATCAAATGTAGGGGACAAACCAAAATCTGGACTCGGCATGCTAATTTGTGTTGGTGTAGCAGTATAGATATTTAGTCTTGTATTAGCAGCGCCTGGAGCAGCCATATCGAACAAATTTATTATCAAAACGCTGTCCTTGCTTACTTCAATTCATGCAACCAAAACGTTCGAGGGCATTGAAATAAAAAGCACCAACACTTAACTTTGAATCCGCATTAATCAACTATGTAAAACTAGAAATTCCATTTTTTTAACATTAACATTATTTATGCATATTTTTAAAATAATAAGGTTGATAAATTATTCCAAAATAATAGTCAGCACTTGATTCCCAATTTATTATCACTGGTCACAACAGTAGTAACTGTTCGTATGATAACAACACGAGTCACGACTCACGACCAATCGAAAAACGGAATAGTGAATACGCCAAAGTCCAAACATGAAACAATACGCTGAGAAGAAGCTGCAGAGTGCAGTCCCGTAGCCCCACTGTCTGGAATTGGCAACTGACAATGACACATGTCAGAAATGAGAAATCTCACTTTATAAATACGCCAATGTCACTATACATTTAGTAGATCTGTGGTTTTTATTAAACATCTATAACTTTTCGATATTAAAGGTTGTAGTTTATAAATATATATATTAATTTGTAACGTATTTACTTACATTAATTTTAGACTGTTACTGTTCTCTTAAAATTATATTAATTGTCATTTAATAAAAGATTTTTTTTATATGATTGGATAATTCACACCAATTGACCTAGTCCCATGCTAAGCTAGTGAAGCTTGTGTTATGGGTACTAGGCAACGGATATACATACATATTATAGATAGATAGACATATAAATACATATTTAAACACCCAAGACCTAAGCACAACACCAAATGCTCATCACATCGATGTTTGTCTCAGCCGGGGATCGAACCCGGGACCCATGGATTCGCAGTCAGGGGTACTAACCACTCGACCAATGAGCCGTCAAATAATGTGTAAAACATGGTTTATGTAAGTTGTAAGTAATCCTCAGGTTACCTAGATTGATCCATGAAATGACCTTGGTTGACAGAAAGAGAGACCAATTTCGTAACATCCCCTTGAAAAACAAGGACCACAAAAATTCTTTCATTTGGTTTCAAACAATATAAAATTGTCACATTGAGTCTACTGCTAGAGTGCGTTTTCCAATAACAGAGCATTTTTCGACTCAGTGCCGCACAATGCCGCATAATGCTGAAGCTTAATTGGAACGTGAATTAGTTTTCAAATGCATCAGCAGAGTGCGCTAAGTCAGTGTTGACAAAAAAATGGTCTGAATAGAGTTAGCAACCTCATTAATGTATAAATAATGTGGTAAACAATAATAATTGGTTGAAAACTTTTTACGCTTAATTTAATAATCAAACTATTTCATTAAATTTTTTTTACTGAAATAAGAGAAAACCTTTAAAGAATATAAGGTTTTAACAAGCTAAATTAACAGTAAAATATTTAGTTTCATGTAAGAAGTTTACATCATTTACGTTTTGAGTAATATTTTTTAATGATTTCTAAAAAAATATATACTTTTTCAAAACCGTTGCAATTTTTTCTAAAGTATAATCCTGTAAAGTAAATTTGTTTACAGATCCGAATTTTAAAATAAAATTGTATTCATATTTTAAATGTGGAATATAAAAAAAGTAACTATTTATACCTTCATCCATACTAATATTTATTTTTTTAGCAGTTTGAAATAACTTTAATTATTTTCAAAATCTACGACGAAACGAAAGCCTTACAAATTTTTCAACAATAAATAATATTAAATACCTAACGAAAATTTCGATAAATGCCAACTTAAAGAAAAATACTGGTCAATTTTCTGTCACTGTGTTGGTATTGTTTGCGAGAGCATTCGTTTTGAGAGTGCTCAATTGTGCGAAGCGTTGCTGTAGTTGGAACACTCAACGTTGAGCATTATGCCGCAAAATGCGCTCTAGTGCTGTAATTGGAAAACGCACAGAGTCGCCAACACAGACTATGTAGGCCACAATCTACAGATTAATTAATAAAAAGGTTGTTTTTTTAAGTACTTTCCGAGATGGCCGCTAAGCTTAAATTACGAACGTATCGTTATGTACGAACTACGTAGTACCTGCAAAAGTATAATAAATCCGATGAATTTTGTAGTTATAAATCGTATTTAAAAATCGTTAATAAACGCGATATGTAATTTACATATTTCAATACAATGATAATAAGGTATCGGAATAGTTTTTTTATCCGCAGTACCAGTCATTAATCAGAGAAGACAGTATTTTAATATTATTAAAATTCGCATACAAAAGACAGAATTGGAATCCACTCTTAATCAGAAGAGGAAGACATAATAATAAACTATTATCTACAGCTGAGCGGGAGCAATATAGAACTAAGGACCGGTTTTAACTGTAATCTAAGATAGGTATTTGAATTGAGGAAAACCCCGAAGTATTGTGGCTTACTAAAGTCAACAATCAAAATCAAGTTTTAGTATGCTAACCACCTCTGGCTTATGCTTAATAAAATGTTTAAAATACTAGCTTTTTTCGCCTTTTTAAATGTTGCAGTATCTCGCTTTGGTAAGTTATATTTTTTTTTAATCACATGGGATGCAAATCTTATAGGTGCTTTTTTAATGGCTAGGTAGAGTTGTTTAACTAAATTTCAAATTCATAATAATCGCGATTTATAGACTTCCTAAGACTTACATGATTCTATAATTAAATTTATTTTAAAATCCTATTCCTATTTACCACAACTTAATGTTTTATAAAAAAAAATTGTTTGTGACAATGATAAGAAAAATAATCCAGTAACAAATATTTGTACTTGTGTGTATTTTAGTGTTATGTATCTTATGTGGTTCTCTACATCTGTGCCCAAATAAAAAAATATTTTCAATTACAGTTGGTGATGAGTGCAAAACATCTGACAATGATGGAACATGTGTGTTAGTCACTGATTGCCCTGTGGCCATTAGGTCAGTCTCATTTGATAATGTTATCACAATATGCAAAAGAGTCCTTATTTATACATTACACATATTTGCAAAGATAACATTTTAGTTATAAGTATAGATAAATCATTCTTTACAACAATTTTGGTTTTATAATAAATTGAATTGTCCAAAAAACCTGACTCACAGTTTTAACTATATACTAATTCTCTATCTATTGGTCTCTTTCTGTTAAATTGTGTTGAAAATGTGAAATAGGTGTTTTAGTATAACAGCGTTTAAAGTCCCATTCAACTTTTAAGATACATTGTTTTGCCAGAAATTAAATCTAAGTTCTCAAGGTTACATGCTATTTTACATATTAGAAGTGTATTAAGACAAACCCCAATTAAAGACCTACTGGATATTTATTATCTTTTGCTGACTGAATTGAATGCCTATATACAAGTGTATATAAAATATTGTTTTATTTGCAGGAAGAAAATAAAACAATATTTTATTCATTTTAACGTACATATATATACTTATTCAGACACTTGAAAAGCATTATTTAAGTACATAAATATTAAATAATCTTTTTTTAAATTTGTTTAAGGGCAATAAAAGAAAATGATCGCCATCCATATATGAGATGTGGTTTTAGTGGTCAAATTGAAATTGTATGTTGTCCTAAGACAGCAATTGAATACAAACCTATAAGGACCTCCACAATAAGAACAGAAGAGAAATTTGGTAATTTAGTTTTAATAATCAAAAACAATTTTAAGAATAGGGTTTAGAGATTTAGCATTTTTTCATCTTTTAACTCATGCTATATTTAAAGCTTTATTATTTATATGTGCTGGGATAATTATTCATATATTAAATGATAATCAGGATAGTTTTATTTATTAGTTTTAACCTAAATATTCTTAGCCATACGTTACTTTCATTCAATTATATTAGAGCTATAACAAAAAATACTCTTATTACCAGAATTATAATTGACATAGTACCGAATTATTCATTCATTTAATTATTTAATTATGGGGAAAACGAGTGCCCTGTCTTTGGTATAAGTATTAGCTTTCCCTTTTTAATTGATTTCGAGAAACCCCAGGGAACTGTACAATTTTATTATGAGATATTTACTTTTTGTGTATATTTTATCGCACTTAAGGAACATGTAAATTGAAATTACTCTGTTAGACGACAAATTAAGATTGTGTAACAAAGAGATAACATTGGATTTTAATAAAATTTTATATTTCAGGTGGAAACCGAGTTGCAGATATTCGTAAGTACAGCGTTTTAAAATATTATTAACATATATGTATAACGCGAAATTTCATTATTTTTAATGAAATATCCAGTTAAAACTAAGTTAGATAAGCTATGAATAAAAAATCATATTAAATTTACAGAATGTAAGAAAATAGTAGATTCTAGTATACCACCACTAGGATTACACATAATCGGAGGGGAAACAGCGTCGCCCGGGGAATTTCCGCACATGGTAATTAGTTTTCCTTATATATTTTTTTTGGATTTTACGTAATGACAAAGTCGTTTAATGACTTATGACACAACAATTCATTTCAAATTATGACGTTTATATTCTTCAATCAAATCAACAGAATTTACAAATTTTTTGTGTTGGGACAATAATCTTCCTAGATTACACCATGCTCAAATTAAAGATGAATTTTTTGTTAAATTGTTTTTTGGGAGGTCTTTCTTACATTGCTCCTTTGGGGTGAGAAAGTGAAGCGACAGACGAGACTGACTGTTCAATAGCATCTCTGAACGTTCCATGGTAACCTCTGAACACTCCGCGTTAGAAGATGCAGACAGACCCCACTTCATCCATTTGCAATCACTCCGCGACAGACGCCGCCTGATCTTTTCTACAACATTTTAATTAACTTGGTAGATTTACCAAATGTTTTTAATCAAGTAAAATTTATCTTGAAGGGAAACCCATTACACCTTTTTTACTTTAGCCCTTAACAGATATATGCAGTAAACGACGTTTTGAGGAGATGAAAGGCTGATCCATTTTGTGCACATGTACATTTTGTGTTATTTTGTATGTTCTCTGTAAATGGCTGTATGTGTTTCGTTAATGTGCCTTTTCAAAATAATTAAATCTCTACGCTACGCCAAGGGATCAAGCGGCTCGGAAAGTGACCGGTCGTGGACGATTCAAATCGCACTTCGTTGAATACGGTCAAGGGGAAGGAGCTGGTTCCGGGGAGCTCCCGCCCAGAACAGTACTCAATGTGGGGCCGAATTTGCTCTTTAAAAAGTAGCAAGCGATGGCCCGGAATGAAGTATTATCTCACGTTGCTGAGAGCACCAAGAGTCTTAGAGAAAAAATCCTCCCCCCCCCCAAGAGTCTTAGAGAAATTTAACATCATTCGAAATGTCAACATCCTCGGCAGGCTGAGGCTTTAAAGAGTGTGTCTTGGAAGAGCGGAGTAGCGACAAAGGATGTTTTGTCCAATCACAAACGCACGATTTCGTATATCGTAAGACGAAAAGGATTTCGCTCTCCGATCGATTCTGATTCGTCAACAGAATTTCTAGTTGAATACGCGTGACATGATGCGTCATTACGTTCTCTTGACCAATCACATACGGAACGTTGCGTCTTACAGTCTCACACCTTGAGCTTTCTTTTCAGGTTGCACTCGGATACGAGCGCGCGGACGGTTACGAATTCCAATGCGGCGGTTCACTTGTTTCCGAATATTATGTTCTTACTGCAGCGCATTGTATAGACACACTGGATCAGTAAGTATGAAATTTTACCCTGGCACATATGGTGTCCCACAGGGAAGTGCGTTGGGTACAATTATTTTGACAACGAAAGACATTAAAAACGAAAACTCAATACAAAATCATGAATTATTGACTTGAGTTGTGTCTGAATTGTGTTGGTGTCTCACAAAGCTACAGTTCAATACAAAATATTATTACAAAATTTTCTGGGAATAATGCTAACAACAAAAAAATTGCAGTCATTTCTTATCGTGCCTATTTTCAATTAATTATTCGCCACATTAGACAAAATTTTAGCGCCTGGAAGTAAACACGAAGCAATAAACATATCAACCTAAATTATATAAAAGATTATCAAAAACCAGTGGCGCTACAAGGTCTAACCCTCAGATAACTTGACTTAGTGTATGTTTCCTGATCCTTTATTTTCCTTAAGACAAGTAGTTGATCGGCCTTCTCTACCTGACACATGCCGTCGAATTTTTGGGTCTAAGACATGCCGGTTTTCTCACAATGTTTTCTATGATCGTACGAGCAAGTGTTATTTGCGCACATAGTAAGTTTACTGGTGCAGCTAGAGATCAATTTTAGGACCACAGGGATAATAACGTTGCACGTTCAAATCGGTGGGCCAACACTGCTCTAAAAAAATAATAAACACACAAAAAAATTTACATTGTGAGGGTAGGTAAATCAAAGCTTAATGTAAATGATTCAAATAGGTAATAATAAATAGGAACTAGGCGTAAATGGGTATATGGGATATTACTTATTAAGAAGAGTTTCAAAGAAGCCAGATTTTTCTGACAGATTTAACATTGTTACAGAGTAAAACCAAGCATAGCGCGGATGGGTGTGGTTGAAATAGGAGGCAGTGCGTTCAATTCAGTAACAGATGTAATGATAGCTGAATTAAAATTGCACCCGCAGTATGCTAGAAAAGAGAAATACCACGATCTCGCTTTAATTAGGTTAGTACCAATCAAAGTGAAACATTGTTACTCCATTGAAGCAAAGTATTAAATAAACCATTTAATTAATCTTGTAGTTTCTTAAGGTAAGATTCAGAGCCCATACTTAGAGTTACTCCTGTATGTAAAAAGCTAAGTCGCGGCTCTAAACGTTAGGTACCCAAGTTACAACGATGTTTTAAAATTGTGATAAATCTCATTCATGGTTTAATAAGCCACGTAATCAGTCCCCCTTTTCTTCATGGTACAATGTAATAGGAGGGTTAAATTATCGATTTTTTTAATCGAAAATTTGTACAAGAATTAAATAAAAGTAGCCAATAAACTTTTCAAAAAGACCTGTTGCAACGGGTTACTTTTTTTTCCATAAAACTAAACAAAGTCTAAAATCGATAGGTTACAATCGCCAGCTGAATTGTCATCTGATTTGAATGCGATATGCCTTTACACCCAAGATGATGACCCACAAGTTGCTTTAACTGTCACCGGTTGGGGAAAAACCAGCACCACACGTGAGTATACCAGCGCATGTGCACTACGGTAACTTTAATCTAGTGGCAAAAAAAGGGAAATATTATCATTTGTTTATTTACATCAATCTCATGTCTATGTTTGACAAGTGACAGGTGTTGACTTTACAATTGACAATTTGTATTTTTGTTATTCGAAGTATTAATTGTTCCGTGCCAATGCTCGGAGCTCCTCCTTTTTAAGTTTTCCACGTACAAAAATGTACGTATATTGTGTCAGGTACAGAAGGCTTGCCCATACTAGATTTTTACTGACTGTCTTTACCAATACTTAGAAAACAGATTACGATTTACAATATAATATGATAAATGATCCTAATCCTTGGGATTGATTTGCTCCAGTTCAAACAATTTGTATGACTCAATACTTGGCGATTAAAAAGAGTGGCGGCAAGTTTCTTGCCAGTTCTTCTTACCCGCTCTACGCGCTTGACTTGCGAACTGGTAGTAAATGTAAATTTATAATTAATTTAACTTCTTTTTGACGTTCATAAGTGTACTTGTTTACCTATATGAATAAAGATATATTGAGTTTGATATAGTTTTTTTTAACTTTTCATGTTCATGTAAATTCGTTATTACCATGAGCTGAATGGTCTATCTATACATGTGAAAATATCTTGCTATGACATACTAATATTCCTAACAATGTTGAGGACGGGGCAAACTTGGCACATAGAAAGATTTACATGGACATCTACAACGCTGAGGGGCTTATGTTGCTGGACTTGGAGGGAACGCTCTTGAAGTGCTGTTTTACCCTAAGTGGTGCAAAAATACCTCTAATGGCAGTTGGTTTCACAATGCGGCGCGTGGCAGAAAGCGCTTTGTACGTTTTTTGTTGTAAATAGCATTTCTTTTTTTTTTATTACAGGTGACATAAAAAGTAATATATTATTGAAGGCAAATGTATCTGTGGTCGATATCTCCAAGTGTGGCGAGTCTTATACTAATTGGCGGCGGCTTCCCAAAGGTATTGCACAGACACAGATCTGTGCCGGCGACGAGTTGGGACGACATGACACCTGCCAGGTGACTTTACTAATACCGAAATAATTTCGCTATTAATTTAAAACAATTTTTTAATTAAACTATGAATTCTAAATGTTGTTACGAAGATTAAAAAATGACTGTTTCAAATTAAATTATATAGCTGATGTTAACAATTCTTATCCAATGATATTTATATATTTGTGGTAAAGTTACAATAATTAAAAAATTGGGGGGAAAATTTATTGACTTGTCAAAATATATCGTAAGACCCGAAATATGTTGATTCCATTACTTTTGAATAACAGTTAGATTTAGTCTTGCGCAAACTATAACGACTCCCGTATGTCAAAATCTAATACACTTTTGACGTACGAAAGTTTTAGTTTCTCCCTCTTATTTAGGGGCTGTCCTTTAATTAAGTTCATTTTTTTTAACCCCTCCCTCCCCCATGGTGATACGTGGTGAGGTTTAAGACTAACCCAGCAAAAATCACGTGTATTTTTTAGTACCTATAAAGAATCTTAAAATTTTTATAATATTATTTTTAAGTACCGGTATAAAGTATAATCTAATACTATTCTAGAAAATTAAGGACCATGATAAAAATATCTAGGCAGAAAGGTTGCAGGTTGTTTTTGACTGACATAAAAATAATATTAAAGGAATAGTGTAATCATCGAAAAACATATTATATTGTATTAGTACATGAACATATTTAATGTACATTGTTCTCCGACCTTCTTCAACATTAACAACTGGGTTAATCTTGCAAGTCAGTTGTTGGCACTGTACTTTGTTGAAGATCAACGTCGATTTCATCAAGCCACTCGGCGTCATCATTTTCGCGCACTACGCAGAAAATCTCTCTCGATCTACCGATCGATCGTTATTCTAAGCCTCTATTCGGTTTAAAAATCACGCGTTCGACGAAAAAATAAGTACACGTGATATCTTACTATATCCCCCCTCCTCCTTGTGATATTTCGTGATTTTTGCCGAACCCCTTTCCCCCCTTCGAAACTCACGTGATTAATGGACAGCCCCTTATAAGAAAATAAAGGTCTTAAATAGATCACATCATCATGTAAACACAATTTGACAGAAGGTGGTTTTTTTAAGAATAAGGGATATGACGTACCCTTATATATTTGTCAAGTCACTTTTACAGCTTGAACGCATAGACCATAGATAATTTCAAAGATAATAAATGCCTTTAGAATGCACCCTCATGGTTCCGTTTAGTTCCTAATACGCTCACAGAGCGCTCCTTAAGTTTTCCATACAAAATATATCTTCTATTGAGTTTCCCATTCGCATGTAAAGCAATCAAACATACTCACTAGAAAAGCATTGTTTACCTTAGCTGCGCTGATTGTTTTGTGGATACAGTTAAGAGCTTTATTAAGGCCCGTATTCTAATAGGTGTCGCTTTAGAAGTGTCTAGTATGTCAAACTTTAAATATAAACATTGACAGATCTTGAAAGTAGATTTTATTTTAAGATACACTTACGTAGAATACGGGGCTAAGTTTGCTCTGAGCCAGTCGAACTGGCTTTCTCCGAGTGTCTACTGGGTTACTGGATTTATTAAGATTAGATTTTTTTTTATAGGGCGACTCTGGTGGGCCCCTTCAAGCTCTTACGGCCAGTGACGGGAACTATCGATTAATCGGTGTGACGTCATTCGGCCGCGGTTGTGCCTCTACAGTGCCTGGAGTGTACACGCGTGTCTCTGAGTACCTCGACTGGATCGAAAGTGTTGTGTGGCCAAATGAATCTTAAAACCTGTTTTTTAAGGGAATAGATAAATATTAGCTTTTTCAAATCTTCTGTTAATTAAATTGTTACTTGCCGCTTGCGGTACCTTTGCGGCGCCTACATTATTCATCCCAGTTTACATTGTGATCATAGCTTAAAAGTTTATTGTAATCGAAAGCTATCGTTTAATTGACCTTTTTAATAATTTTGAACTTTTATGTTTTAAGAAAAGATCTTACACCTCCTTTAAACGTGAAGTTAATACCGTGTTATATCATGGTTACGATGTCCATAAAAAAAACATTGTTCACCAATAATACTAAATATACTATCGTAAGGCAGCGATACGCAATGTTATTCTCAATAAATCTTAAATACCTCAGGAGCTTTGCCATGACTTTAATGTATACTGCAGTTCCCATTCTAATCATAATTTTGTCATAACTCTGACTTTTTTTTCCGACAGGTGTGACCCCTATAAGTATGAGATTATTTTTTTAGCTCATTCATTAATTATCATTAGCTTACACTTGGTCACGTAATCATTTTTCTCTAGCCCCGTGTCGTGTGCCAACGCGTTTTAGACTAGAGATACTAATGACAAATCACAATCTAAAAATCGTTTGTCATTTTAGCCCTCACATCCAGTTTTAATATAGAAATGAATGTATTAGTTTGTAATGTAACACTAACAAAAAACAAAAAAATATTTTTCAATATATATTTTGTATCATTATGTTCACAAATCTATTAATCTATATCTAATAATTTCTATGTGCATTATCACAACAGAATGTTAAAGACTGTACTCAAAACCTAGATTAGATTTTAAGATCAAAAATATTTTAAACAAATATGTACCTACAATATTTAATTATGTTATTAATATTATGCATTAGTCAAATTTTAAATATTTACTTAATTAAGGGTCGATTCGACCAAACTTCAATTTATACACGAGTAACTATACCAAGAATAATCTATTCCATGATTTTAATCTCGAGTAAATCCATAGTCGTTTGTCCACGTAATCGATAGTATAATTGCGCTAGGAATAACAATACGCGAATAGCAAGAGAATGGTGAACGAAAATAAAACTCGGCAAATAAATGTTGTTCTACAACGGGACAGTGTAAGAGCATACATCATGTCAACTCGATTTTGCCGTATTATAGAGTGAAAAAGTAGCTTTTAACAGGTGTCAAACGACAACAAAAAGTTTTTATTTCTTGTTTGTTTGAGGCTTTCGTCTAAAAAGGAACTTCTGTTGAGCCTAGTTGAATTTCATTCTAATATTATAGAAAATAAAAAATCTAAAAATAAATAAATAATAAATTGTTTAAACGTTTCATTATACAATGCCAGACTATTAATTTAGTGCGTTGCGTTGACTTGAAATTAAAACACAGAATACATATTTGTGAAATGACAGAAATCAGCTGATTGGACTGACTGACGCCATTAAATTATTCTAGGAATAGCTGTTATTCCGTGCGAAACGGCGGTATAGTAGCTATTCCCGAATAAGCCCACTATTCTTAGAATTTGTAGTTGGTAAAACGTAAAATTGATTGTCTCTCGATTAACTGACGATTTATTCTAAGATTAAGATTTACTCTTGTTTGGTCGAATCGGCCCTAAGAATTTAAATGACTGAATGCCATATTATCATTTTTGTAATTTGCAATAAATATTATATTAACTACATACTAGTAGGAACAAAACATTTAAAATATTAACTACATATTAATAACTAACATATTTTATGAAAGAGTTAGTTAGAATAGTAATCCATTTTCTAATCAAGTTTTTGTACATGCCATACAATTATAAAAATAATGTTTATTTTAAGAAAATTATTGAAATAAAATATTTTATTCCGACCATATTTTATTAACTATGATAATCATTCATATGTTTTGATTCAACAGTATACAACAGATTTTTTTTATGATTTCACAAAACTACCTTAATACATTATTCTACTGTACATGTAATAACAAATGTAATGGAAACTATACATTAAAATAGCATTTACTACTTTTTATTTATTATATATATTTTGAAAGTGACAGTTCAATATAACTATTTTTATGGCCGACTGGTTCATCAACAAGATGAACGCATAATTATTACAGAAACATGTCAATGAGACTTTAGTCTTTCATACGAGTTACGAGTATCATTGTTTGTCCAGTGAATTTATTGTAAAGCTGTTGAAATAAAAAATATTCTTAAGAAAAGATATATTATTTTGAATTTATTTACAAAAACACCTTAATAAATTATTCTTATGTGTATAATAAAAACACAAGGATCAAAATTATTAGTTTGTTTATTTATTTTTAGTATGTTTTGCAGCTTTTTTCATTTTTGCCTTAAATGCACTAATATTAACAGTAGGTTCAGTTGATGCATTGTTTTCATATTTCTTTTCCTCTGGAGGAATAAAATCTTTCTTTCTTGCTTCTTCTTTGGCCTTCTTTGCTTCTTGTTGTTTTTCCTCTTTTTCATGTTTTCGTTTTGCTTTTTTCTGGTCATCTTTGAGGAAGTATTCACCAGTTGCCAATTCTTTATCAATTTTACTTTCTGGTTGCTGGGGTGGAAATGGAGTGTAAGGTTTTTTGTTGATTTTCTTTTTAGGTTGTTTTCTTGGAACATTTTTACTTTTAAAATTAGGTAAAAATCTGTCCCAACTTTCATTTTTTAATCTTGAATCTTTCATCAACTCACGCTTAATCATAAGACTTTTAATATTGTACATAGGGTGTATATTTTTCATGGTATCTTCAACAATTCTTCTCACTTGTACTAAACCTTTATATGGGCCTACAGCAGATACAGTGTTACCTTGAACTAAAACATAACATTCAGTCAATAGTTCTATTGATTTTAATGTTACTCCATTAGGACCAATCAATCTTTGTCGCCTTTTAAGGAAGGTCTCCTTTTTGCTAACAAATGAGTTAATTTTAATAATGTCGCAACCTATTTCATCTTCTAAAACTCGGACAGCTTGCTCAAAAGGAACACTTCTAGATAGTAATTTCATGAAATCTCGTGCTTTTATAATAATATAAGGATCCCACGTTTTTCTCGTAGTTTTAACAGTTAGACTACCTTCAATCAGGTCTAATTCGGCAACAATGTTATGGTTATTCAATACTTTTTGTACTAAAGGCCAGCATTCTTTAAGATATTGTTCGCGATACTTAGGGAATAAAGTTGCAAATTTACTTTCCTCCAGGAGCCCATGTGGATTATCTTCAGGTTTAAATTTTGGTATTTTCATTGACCAAGCATTTTCTACCGGTCCCTTTTGTGTCTCTTCGTCAGAATCGTTATTTTCCATTGTCATTTATTTAATACTAATACGAATAAGTGGTTATTATAATATGAGTTGGTTACAAGAAATTTTGGCTACACCGCTACAGCCTACAACATAATTACATAAATACAAAAGACATTGACAAATATACAAATATGTCGAAATATAATTGACAAGAAATACTAGCCTACAGATGAGACAAGGTACTAGCTAGTTGCTTAACTCAGTCTGTGCAATTTGTTATATAAGGGTGCGTACAGACTATGTAACATATTATATAACTTGTGTTTTATAACACGTCCACATTATGTAACCTTGTTATTTAACATTATAACATAAAACAATACTGTACACATTAGGATAACAATGCAATATAACAATGTTATATAACCATTTTAAATAACAAAAGAAAAACAAAAAACGTAGATGCTGGGTTCGTCCTAGCATACATATCAATAACATGTTATTATAACATGTTTTATAACATTCAGTGTCCACATTATCTGAAACATGTTGTATAGCAATGTTGTATAACATGTTATGTTATATAGTCTGTACGCACCTTAAGAGTTCACCAAGAACAAAACGTTCGACCCCGTACCGCCCTGTATCAGCAGGGCGCGAGCCACCACTCCACCCGAAAGGGGCATAGCCTCGAACGGGAAAAAACACACCCCTCTAGAGGGAGTGTGTAACAATATCCACGACGGTTGTAAATGGAAAAAAAGCGCGGGAAACTACGTTCATGATAGACGTATTTTTCACGGTGGTGAATATTTAATTTAATTTTACTAGTTAAAACGCAGAGGATAAGCTGGTAGTTTTAATTTTTGTATTATATGAAATCTTTATAATATCATATTTGTGTATAGTGTCATCGTGTAGTCGGTAAGTTTTTGTAATTTCTGTAAATATTGTATGAACAAGCCCGATCTAGGTCGGGGGGATGATGGCCTTGTTGGCTTGAATCTCCCTGTGGGATCAAATGTATCTGTTGGTTCACAAGATGAATTTGACAAAATGGATACCGATTGTTCGGTATCATCTCAAACAGGTGAAGGAAGTCGTAAACGAACACGTTATTTGCGCCTTTGTCGGCAATGTACGAAAATTAAGAAAAAGAAAGGTAGTGGTTCTAGCGGTGATTACTGTCAGTGCGAAAGCTTATGCAATGTAGAAGATGAGTCAATTTTAATTAAAAAGGTTACTTCAAAACCTATATCTCAATCCACGTCATCTCCACACTTGCAAAATAATAATAATTCACATAGCACATCCTCTCGACCATCAACATCTTACACGGAAAATTCAAATATCTCTCAAGACTCTAACGCGGGAAATTCAAACAACACCACAGCTTCAGTAACCAATACGGACCCCCGTTCGATTGGCCGTACTGAATATGTTTCTACTGATGTATCCCCATATTTAATACATGTTCAACGTATTCAAAGTTCACCTGACGACGGGACCATTCTCCATCCAATAACATTTGGCAATTTTTTAAAGCAGAACAAATTTAATTATATTATTCCCGGAAGTGTAAAGCGTATAGGAAGAAACAGGTGCGTAGTTGGCTTTTCCGATTATAAAGACGCCAATAATTTTCTTAACTGCAATCTTTTAGAAACGAAAAAGTTAAAAGCCTTCATTCCCACTTTCAGCGTAACAAGAATTGGTCTAGTTCGCGGGGTCCCTGTAGATTGGAGTGAAGAGGAAGTTCAACAAAATGTATCCGTACCTATAGGCTGCGGCAAAATACTTAAAATAAGACGTTTGAATCGCAAGGTAAAAATTAATGACTCGGTTTCTTGGAAACCCTCTGAATCAGTTGTAATAACATTTGATGGGCAAGTTTTACCAAAAAGGATTTTCATGTGCTATAATGCTCTTCCAGTAGAAATATATATTTATCCTACCATACAATGCTATAAATGCTGCCGTTATGGTCATACCAAAGTTCAATGTCGTTCTAAGACTCCAATATGTTATAACTGTGGAGGTCAACATGCAGGTGTATCATGTGACAGGTCAGATAAAGATCCTCTGTACTGTGTAATGTGTGAAGTCGAAGGGTCCCATTCAGCGATAGATAAGTCATGTCCAGAATTTGTGAGACAGACAGAAATCAAAGTTAAAATGGCTCAGAGCTGCATGTCTTATGCCGAAGCCAGTAAATATTTTTCTTCTGTTAAGCCTTCATACGCAGATGCATTAAGTTCAACAATTCCGGAAGTACCAAAACAATAATGATTCTACTAATGCCTCATATAAAAAGACAGTATTCTTAAAACCTCGCTGTCCTCCTAAACCACAACATGGTTATGATCGTGTTGCTCATAATAATATATTAAAAGACTTCCAAGTTCCAGAGCCTAAAAATGGCAGTGCTCTGGTTGGTCACAAAAATAAAGAAGAAGAAAAGTCTGATGTCTTAGAAATCATACTAGCATTATTAACTACTTTAATAAACTCAAACTTACTGAAACCGTCCCACGTTGCCTCTATTAATGAAAAAATTAAATAATTTAATGTTATTAAAAATAATGGATTGCAAGATAATTCAATGGAATTGCAGGAGTGTTGTTCCAAAGAAACAGGATTTAATATATTTGATGCGTTATTGTTGTTGTTGCGTTATCTGAAACGTGGTTGAAGCCAGGGTACCTATTTAGGATCCCAGGATATACCTGCTTGCGTGATGATAGATTTGATGGCCATGGTGGCGTAGCATTACTTGTCAGGAACTCAATTAATTTTTCTGAAATAGCGTTTTCTTCATTAATCTCTAATGATGCCATTAATATTGTCGGCATAAAAATTGATAATATTTCTATAGTTTCCATTTACCTAGCTCGTTCCTCTTTTGTTATTCTCAATAGCGTTAATAATTTACTTTCTTCACTTAGTCGTCCATTCCTTCTATTGGGTGACTTTAACTCTCATCACCAAATGTTTGGTTGTGGTACTACTGACTGCAATGGTGTACGTTTAGTTGAAATATTAGATTTACATAATTTGTGTTTACTTAATACTGGCTCACCAACCAGACGTACAAAGCCTAATGAAAAGCTTAGCGCGGTTGACTTATCAATTTGTACTCCAGATCTTGTTTCTTCTCGTTCTTGGTACACTTCAAAATCTACTTTTGGCAGTGATCATTTCCCGATTATCATATCCTCACCTATTAGACGCTCTCCTTATCAAAAACGACAACCTCGTGTGAAATATAAATTAAATAATGCTGATTGGCTTGCATTTAAAATCCTTGTCGAATCTAAAATAAATGATTTGCCTGAATTAGTTAGCGGTGGTGAGACCAATTCTTCTAAAGCTTTGGCTACATGTTTAATAGAATCTGCCGATCAGATTTTTTCTGTCAAACGAAATCCGTCTAATAAGATTCCTTTTCCTCCATGGTGGGATAGAGAATGTATGGTTGCTGTAAGTAGAAGAAAGGAAGCTGAGACAGTCTATGCTGAGGACATGTCTAATGAAAATTTAGATATTCTCAATGAAGTTATTAGTACCACACGTAAATTCCTCAGAGATAAAAAGCAGGCAGGCTGGAAAAAATTTTGTACTTCTTTATCTCCTTCTACGTGCCCTTCAGAAGTTTGGACAAGTATTAAACGTTTTCGATCTGCTTTCAAAGAATCTTTATCATCGTCTTCACTTGGCTGCTGAATCGATCTACTTTCCTTTGGAATCGTCTTTGACAGATGACTCTTCCTCCTAAACCTAACAAACCTACCAATGGTGTTGCCTCATATAGGCCTATTGCGCTGTCCTCCGTTTTAACTAAAATTGCTGAACATCTTGTGAAGAATCGTTTGGAATGGTTTATAGAAAACAATAATTTAATAGCCAATAGTCAATCAATACGGTTTCCGGAAGTCAAAATCTACAATAGACAATTTAGCTATATTAACCACAGATATTCGCATAGCTTTTTCGCGTGATGAAGATATTGTCATCACGCGAAAAAGCTATGCGCCTAGAAGCTGCCTTTTTGGACATCTCTGCCGCCTATGATAATGTGAACATTTCTATTCTACGACGAAAATTATTAGAGCTACAGGTTCCTACGTTATTAATATATTTTATCATCAATTTACTATCCTGCAGATACATATCATTAATCGTTCAGAAAGATAATAATAGTACCGAGTTAAAGCGTACAGTTTTTAAAGGCCTTCCCCAAGGTTCGGTACTAAGCCCACTTTTATATAATATTTACACATATGATTTAGAATTATCTATAAATTCCCATATAAATGTGCTACAATATGCAGATGATCTTCTTTTTTATTCCGTTGATAAATCTGTGGATAAGGCTTGAAATTCCATGTCTAGTTCACTTAATTGTCTTAATATCTGGTTGGTTAAAAATAACTTAGATCTATCAGTTTCCAAAAGTTCAATAGTCGTATTTTCCAAAAAACGTACAACTCCTATCATAAATGTGACCTTCAATGGTCAACCTTTGCCACTTCAAACAAAAATTAAATTTTTAGGAGTTATATTGGATTCAAAATTGTCTGGACTTGCCCATTATGAACATGTTGTTATGAAATGTGCACAGCTGCTTAACATCATGAAATGCCTTTCAGGTGTATGGTGGGGTGCTCATCCGTTTTCTATGAAACTTGTGTATAACGCTCTTATAAGATCTGTTTTAGATTATGGCACATTTCTATTAGATGGAGGTAGTGTCTTGGGAACTCAAAAACTTGATGTCATTCAGTCAAAAGCTTTGAGAATTGTGACAGGAGTAATGAAATCAAGCTCATCCAATGCTTTACAAGTAGAATACTGCGATCCTCCTTTAAAATTAAATTTTTTTAGGCAATTTTTAAGTGATCGATTCTTGTTCAAATCTATAACCATCCTCTACATAGAAAACTGCATGAATTGAACAATATTATTCATACATCCCTTTATGTTACTGGCGTCACAAATCATTACCATGTCTAATAATAAGCTTTCGTAAATTTTTAACATTACACAGCTGCATTCATCGATCTCCA